TTCTTGGTCACCTTTTTTGAAGAAACTCCATTCTTCTCGTCTTCTGCACAAGATTTAAACTTTGTCCAACAAGTCTTGCATATGCCTTTTGTTGAACCCTCCCCGTATACAATTCCAAACACTATTCCATCTTCTTCCAATACTTCAAATTCATCTCATTAGCCTTCGAATACTTCAAATTCCTCTTAGCCTTCTAATTAGGGATGACAAAAGAATCCGCGCCCACGGATATCCGCAGATAAAATCTGTGACGGATAGTTGGTACTTGCAGATATTTACTATTTGTGGGTTGAGGGTAGCGGCTTTTTTATTACCCACTTATAAATGGATCGGGCGTGGGTATTATATTATCCGTACCCGCAGATATCCGCTACCCACAAAAAATAAAAATAAAAATTTAATTTATGTTTTATTAAGTTAAATTTAATTAAAATTAACATTAATTTATATTTTATAAGGTTAAATATAATTAAAATTAAATTTTAATTTATATTTAATTTAATATATATTATATTTTATATATTTTTTGTAATTTTATTTAAGTTTTATTATAATATTTTATAAAAATATATTTTTTTAAATATTTGCGGGTATCCGCGGGTTTTAAAAAATCTGCAGGTATTTTTTAAGACGATATCTGTACGGGTAGCGGGTAGATTTCTTTTTGTCAGGTCGGGTTGCGGTTAGGCACTATCCGTACCCGACCCAACCCATTGCCATCCCTACTTCTAATGCTTCAAATTCCTCTGATCAACCTAGTTCTCGTATACCATTACCTCTAACTCAGATGAGTTGTCAAATACCACATGATGAATCCTCTTCATCAAGTCCTTCACCATCATTTTCCCCAACTACGACTCCTCCTGATAATAAGGTTTCTAGTTGGCCTATTGCCATTCACAAAGGGACTTGATCTACTTGCAACTCTCATATAATTTTGAGTTAAATATGTTTTTGGTCCCTTAACTTTCAATGAAAATTGGAATTAGTCATTATTCAAAACTTTGGCCCAATTTAGTTCCCCAACTTTAGAAATGTGTGGATTTAGTCCTTTTAACTAAATCTTGTTAGGTTTATTTGACGTTTCAAATACGTTTCACGATAACATTTGAGTTGTTTACACAGTTTGACCCATTTTCGTTTCAATGTTAATCGAGAATCGCGTTTGAAACATCAAATAAACTTTACAAAATTTGGTTAAAAGGACTAAATCCACGTAGTTTTAAAGATGAGGGACAAAATTGGTCCATAGTTTCAAAGAGGGACCAAAAACATATGTACATGGATGTGGTTGATGAAAAATTGATTGGAATTATTTTCTATCTCAGATTTTATAGTGAAATCATAAGCACCATTTGATATATCCATTCATGTTTATGGGAGTGGAAATACGTGTGCCTATCTCACCAATTCTAGCAATTCATGTCTTCCAATGGTATTTTTTTTATCAAACTTCATGTCCTTATACTCAATAAAACGGGGTAGGTAAACTCAAAAATAGACTTAATGAAACTAGTTGAACTCTTCTCTTTCATAGTTATGTTCCACACTGTTTCTAGGGGGATGTTGTCTTAATCACATGTTATCTCATATCGGATGCCATTATCTGTCCTTAATGGTAGGGTACTTATCTGTCCTTAATGATCATGTACCTTAATTTATCCTTTTTCCTCATTCTCATCTATACATCCTACCTCCTTGTGCTTTTGGTTACACATGTTTTGTACATATCCTCACAATTGATCAAGATAAACTCTCGTCAATTGTTCAAGTGTGTCTTTTTAAGATATCATCGTCTCAAAAGGAGGATTGATGTTTCTCACTTGAACTTAATTGATATTATGTTTTCATTGATGTTTCTTTCTGAGTTTGTATGATATTATATTCTTGTTCATTCTAATAAGTACATTTGTAGTTAGTTTCCTATTTTTGTCTTCCTTCGTCACCAAATGACTGTCATACCTTAGGAGGCTTCTCCAACATCACTTAAGGTATATAAATGCCACCAATGGCCTAGTGGCATTATAGTAAAGGACCTATCTTCAATGGATAATGATATAATGGAGACAATGTTCATCCTTCCTCGACACTCTTACCAAATCTAGTCTCTAAAAATGACTAGCCTATTGATACTAAAAAATGTTTACATTCTACTTGTAATCCTTCTTGCTATGCTAATCTCAATTATCATCAACTGTCCTTCATATTGTTGGAAGTCCCGCATCGATTAGAGATAAGGTCAATTTATAGTATATAAGTAGGTGCAAACCTCACCTTACAAGCTGATTTTGTGGGATTGAATTAGGCTTAAATTCCACTTCTTAACATGGTATCAGAGCTTGGTTAAAGCCTATCCTAGCCAGATTTGTGTGGATATGTTTTTCCTCTCGCTATCGGGCCACTATCAGACCAATCATTGATGTCTAGTCTCACGCTCCACATGTATATATTTTGGTGTGAGGGGTGTGTGTTGGAAGTCCCACATCGACTAGAGATAAGGCCAATTTATAATATATAAGTGGGTGCAAACCTCACCTTACAAGCCGGTTTTGTGAGGTTGAGTTAGGCTTAAAGTCCACTTCTTAATACATACATTATATTTGTTTGTTTTCGATATCTTTTGTTCCTATTTCTTGGTCTTTAGTTGAATCTTTTACCGCATTGAAAGTGGTGACAAACAATGATTGATGAGACGTGTGCTCTTCAAAGTAGTGATACTTGGGGATGAGTTGGTTTCTCTTCTAGGTGATAGATAAATCAATTGTTGGGTTTTGATAGTTCTACAATCTTAAAACAACCCTTGATGGTAAAATTGATGGTGATAAAACTCGCTTGGATGTCAAAGAATACACATGAATCTATGGACAAGATTACACTAACACTTTCTCTCTTTCTGCCACAATGATATCTATTCAACTTCTCTTCTCCATTGCAGCTATTCGTCACTGCACTCTATTTCAGCCTCACATCATGAATGCATTTCTACATGATCTTGATGAGGAAGCCTACATAAAACAACTTCTTAGATTTGTTGCTTAGGAGGAGTTGTCTGATATGGTTTGTAGTCTTCATGTGTCCTTGTATGACCTCAGGCAATCTATCCTTTGCATGGTTTGGGCATTCTATCTACCTATACGTGGCAGATATTCTTATCACAAGTTGTGATAAGGAGGGTATTGCCCAACTTGAACAATACTTTTATTGAAAAGTTCCCAACAAAAGATCTTGGACACTTGGGGTATTTGCTTGATGTAGAAGTTGCATAGTCCAAGGATGATTTGATCATATCTCTAAGTAAACATGCTCTAGACATTTTATACGAAGCAGGGATGTTAAATGTTAAGCCTGTGGTCACACCAATGGATCTGACTGTGAATCTTGTACCTGACTAAGGAGAATTGTTTTCTGACTCATGGACATCTAGATTGTATATGTATTGTTGGGAATGCTTTTATTTATTCCTGGCTCATATATTATTATTAGAAGATCCTCTATTTATTGTGTTGATTATGTTCTCTCAATATAAATAAAGCACCCATCTTGTCTGGAGAACATAATTTCAGCCCCAAGTCTGTTTCCTATAGTTTAACATGTTAGAGATCTCACATCAATTATATATATGGTTAAAGGTTGAGATAGACCTAAATCCACTTTCTAAAATGGATCAGATTTGATCCAAGTGAGTGTTATTGAACTTATTATGCTACCTATTATCAAGCTACTAGCGGATCACTCATAAATATTTATTCAACATGTTCATTCTTCAATGTAAGAGGGTGTGTTGGAGATACCAAAATGGACTAGAGATATATATTTGAATTATAATATGTAAATAGGTGCAAATTTCACCTTATATGCTAGTTCTATAGGGTTGGGTTAGGTCTAAATCCATTTTCTAAGAATCCTTATCCAGATAAGTTAGCCAATCCTTTTTATCTTTATCTTTGAAAACAGGAATTGTTTAGTCATCCTTTTTATTTTATTTATATTTATCCTTTGTATTCTTTATAGGGGAGTGGCAGAATTGAGAGATTAGATTTGAGTATTCTTGGTTTCTTCCCTTTAAATAATTGGGAAGAGGAAACTAAATAGTTTACAAAGGATATCCATTGGAAGAGTGTTACTCCCTCCACCACCCCATCTTCTCCCTTCACCTCCCCAATTTTTTCTAAATTCCAATCTTACCCTTTTTACTTTTACCTTTACCTATTTCACTTTTTATTTTTTAAAACCCTAATTCCCTTTCACTTTCACTCTTTCTCATTTGGTGTGTGCAATTTTGCTTTTTCAAAATTACCCTATATATAAGGCACATAAACCGCAACTTTTCTACAATCCCTCCATTCTACTTTTATTTTTCTACATTTTTTACACTGAGCAAATAGAGAAGACAATTTAAAATATATTTTAAAGAATTCGTTTTTTATAACTTTTTAATTGCAATACTCAATAACGACTCTTTTTTTTTAATCTTCAAAAATCTATATTTTTTGTGGGATATCAACGTTTAGTCGTTGCATGGTAAACCTAGGTGGAAAAGTTATTGTACCCTCGTGAAACTTGTAAATAGGAATTAGTGATTTTGTTATGAATAATATTTTTTAAATATGAAATTCTTCAAATGTTTTATTCCCCATTAATTTCTTTGATGGAAATACAACATAGAATCAAAAACTTGTTCTTAATATCAGAGATTGAAATTATTTAATCGTGGAACATGTTTATTCTTTTCAATACATGAATGCATTAAAAGGTAGAAGTGAAAAAGTTCACCTAAAGGAGGCTAAATATTCTCTCTGTAAAGGAAAGGAAAACATAAGAGAAGCAAGCTGATTTTGTTCAGAAATACAATGAAGCTGTCCTACCAAATTAGTAAATAGGAAATCCATGCATTTTATCCAGCTTGTAAACTTTTCTTTATTGGTGTTATCTCAGTTGCGTGTTCTTTTGCACGAGATCCAACTTCTATGCTGCATGAATAGCTTCAGAATTTGTAATATCACTGCAATGGTTTGGTTCCAGCAGATAAGAAGTCTGAAGGAAGATCCCGGGTAGATCGAGATGCTGACAATCTTCAGCTTCAGCAGCTGGAAGAAAAGGACGTAGTATCATCTGTAGCTACTGTTCTCTCTGATCTTTGTGGGCCTGGAGAGTGGATGCCTATGGAGAAACTTCACGCGGAGGTCAGTTTTTATCATTTTGTTTTATGTTGCTGCAACTTCCTGTTTTGTTTTCTTTTACCATTTTATTTTATTAGGCTGGAGTCATAGTTCTGGAAAAGGAAATCATTTTCTTTTCTAGCATTCAAATTCTTCACTATAGGCTTTAAAACCATTGGGGCAGAAACTGAGTTCCATTTATGTAATTCAAACTCAGCCCCTTCTTTCTTCTCCTTTCTATGGACCCTGCTTCTAGTTGCTGCCACCATTTCTGTTGACTCCTCTGTCATCCTTCCTGTGGCCAACTGTACAGAGTTGAGTCTGACAGTCCCACTGCAGTATTGGGTTTGCTCAAAACCCATTGCCTCCAGAACACAGTGCCACCCTGCCACCCTCTATGTCTGTTCCCTCTGCCGTCCATCTAATGCCTGAAACTGCTTTTTTTATCTCCCGCTGATGATATCATTTTAAAGGTTCATGTTCACCTGTACTCTCTTTATCAGCAATCCTCTCATCATCTTCTTGGTTTCCCTGCCCGAGTGCTTCAAACTGAATCCTGTTCGGTGCTTTGCCTCATTATGCGATCTTGAAACTGTCCCCTAATAAAACCTAAAGGTACTGCGTGTTATGTTGGTAAAAGGAGTTTCCTACAGTTAGGATATAGGGTGGAGTCATGCCCATAACTGTCATGAAATTGTATGATTCCAGGCATTATCCTGGCTTGCTGTCCACAGCATTAAAATGCGATGCATGCTCGAAGTTGACCACTGTGAAAACTCCAAAGTTGACAGTACTGAGGGTAAAAGCAGTTTTGAACCCCTATTATGGTTGAGGCTACTAGTCATTCCAGAAAACGCTGAAAAATTGTATGTTTTTGTGCATATAGCATCTGTGATGGCTACAACATTAAGTTTTATTGCAAATTTAAAATGGTTGCAGTATAGTTTGCAACATATATCTCTCCACTTTGGAACACATTACAAATGAATTGAATGTTTTACAGTATTGTTGATGTTAAATAGCTGTGCATGTCAAACAATCACAGAAGTATTGCAGGATATGTAACACTGCAGCATGGTTGCCATTCAGATTTTTTTTTGCTCATTACATAATTTATACCATATAAAAATGCTAATAAAAAAAGACTTAATTCATGACATTCATAATTAACAAAAAAATACGTCTTAAACAGAACGTGCAAGTAAATAACAATTGAAGTTGATGAAAAAACAAGTTTAGGCCTCTAAGTCTCTAACTCTGAGGATACCCACAAGGGTTACTGTTTGTGTCTATCGGAGACAGATGGCAACAAAACTCAGCTTGGAGAAAACAAAAAAGAACTCAAATCAGAAACTAAAAACCAGAGGAAAATAAATAATACTGGTTGAAAAGCAATAACCTGTGGGACAGTGAGAGCAAAAAGGGGAAAGCAGGTAACCTGGTTTAAAAAGGTGCAGACTCAGTGGACAGATGCACAGTCACTGGACAAAACTAGGTCATTGCAAGAAAACAGACAGAGCAATTGGTTGATTGATGGGTCATAGTACTCTATAATTGGATTAAAGAGAGAACAAATAGAAGAAAAAAAGCTCAAGGCGTTGTATCCCAAAATGTTTTGAAATGCTTCTATTTTTAACCTTCAAACCCTAAAAATTCCTCTGCAACATTAAAAATTGGGCTATTTCTGTTTTTGAATGCTTTCATGAAAGCATCCTAGGTATGAGTGAAACTCCTGTGGTGGTATCAATTACTTTTGACACTAAAACACAATGTAACTACCTCAGAATAGTGGCCAGCTGCCATTATGTGATGCAATGCTGCTATAGTCGTACAATTTATGCTATTCACAACATTGATAGATTATTTGAATAAAGTTTACTTATTATTCTTACTCAGAAGAATTAAATGACTCAACAAATAAGGGTAAATGCCAATCATAACAATTGAAGCTAAAAGCAAATCCAAACAAATTTGAGTGGAATTATATTTGTAGGCAACTAAAGTGAAAATGGATTTCCAATTCCAAATATAAGAGCATTTAGTCCTGTTTTTAATTTTGGGCTTTCATTTCATTTATGTTTTCATTTTCTAACTATAGAACTGTTGCCTTGTTTTCCATGTTTGTTGATTTCAAAGATTTGCATAGGAAACAAAAAAAAATTCTGTCTTTCTTTGTACAAATCTCTTAGAACAAGAAATATATTGAGTTGAAGATCTCACATCAACCAAAGATTACACCATTTATAGTATATAAGTAGGTGTAAACTTTTCCTCATAAACAGGTTTTGTAAGGTTAAGTTTGGTTTAAAATCCACTTTTTAAGATGATATCAAAATCAATCCTAGCATGATTACTATTGGGTCACTATTAGACCACTCACAAATATCTAGTCTCATGCTAGATATGTGCAGTTCTCGATATCGACTAAAGATAATGTCAAATTATAAGTAGGTGCAAATCTCACTTTATAAGCCAGTTTTGTAAGGTTGAATAACTTAAAGTTTACTTTCTAAATGAAAACAAAGTGACAACTTTGCAATTTAAAAATGAAAACAGAAAATAAAATTTTCCCTATTGTTCTTATAAATTTCAGAGGAAGAGATTTTATTCATAAACACTCTTGTACTGGTTAATTCCAGCCTCTTAAAATTCTCAAGCTCATGGCATATACAATTTTTTTGTATTGACACAATTATCCATCTGGCTAATTACTTCAGGATTTCTAGGGTTAGATAACCTGTTACATTGTTGTCTAACAGTAAGCGGTTTTCTGAGAGCTTACAATGTAACATTGATGTTTTTGTAGCAATTGCCAGACTAGTAGTGTGATGCTTTTCCATCTATTATATATATGATCAGACTAAGAATATGAAAATATTGGCGCGTGTGATAATCTGCTATGCGTCAAGATTATCCTAATATAAGCTTAAAATGCATCATTATACATCTAAAACATGTTGGCTATGGTTCAGGAACTCATTCATTTAATTCTGAGTGCTGAACTTATATTTTATTTTTTTCTTTTCTTTTTGTTTAGCTGTTGGAGCAATATAGCAGTGTTTGGCATCATAGTAGAGTGAGAAGGTATCTGACATCAGAAGATTGGCCAGGTCCAGAATCCAAAGGGAAGCCTTGGTATGGTTTGCTTATGCTGTTAAGGAAGTACCCGGAGCATTTTGTCATCAACACAAGGTCCAAGGGCCGTGTCACCCTGGAGTTTGTTTCTCTTGTCTCTCTTCTATCCTGACCACATTGTCACTAAAGCTCAAATTGAAAAGGAAATAACCATCAGCCCTGGTTGCTTCTAACAGTGATATATGGTTTAGCTCTAAAACTGTATAAATGTACTTTTGTTGCTTTCTTTTTGGGTAATTTCTTGTAACTAGGTAAATATGTCCCCCTCTCCCCCAGTGCTCTGAGAGCAAAATTAACCATTAGTTCTTACTTTTTTCATGGATTTAGAAAATGGGACTAAGACTTAAACATCAGAGTTGGGCGTGTCCAGTTTATTCATTCTATAAAAATGTAGGACCACTCCTAGAATTAATATTAAACTGCTCGCGGTTAAGATGCATTATTCACGCTCCATTATGTTTTCTATGTGAATGCCACATGTGGGAATTTTTGGCATTGCTGTATTGCATGTTGGTCTAGGCCTTCACACTGGTGTTTTGTGTGTTGAGCTATAGGTCCTTTTGTGTGGGCATTTCTTTCTGCATTTCCATAAATTTTAAAATTCCTAGTTTACCCTTGTGGTATTAAATGACAATGGATAGGAGGTTTTGTTGGCGTGTTATTGTGCTTTTTTTGAGTGTTTTTACACACTTCATCTTTGTGGTGGTGCTTGGTGATGCTGAAGTGTAGAGTGGATGTTGAATCAAGATTGTGGTGGAGTGAAGAAAGGGAAGCTTGGATAGGTAAGTTGCTCGTTTTGTTTTGATGATTTTCTCTAGTTTGTGATTTTGAATTTGATTTCTGGATTGTGCAATTTAAAAACCTCTTGGGTTGTGCAATCCAGAAGAATTTTGCCGTTTAAATTGTACAATTTGAAATGAATTCTCGAAGTCCAAATGTATTGTGGATTGTACAATTTGAAAGCCAAAATTAACTTAGATTACACTATGCGGAATACAATTTGTACATCTAGATTGTATTAACCTTTGGATTGCATAATTTGGAATACAAATTTGACTTCCAAAGTGTGAAATGAAGAATAATGTCTAAAAGTCCAAATTGTATTTTGGATTGTACAATCCGTAATACATTTGGACCTTTAGATTGTGCATTTGGAAGTCAATCTTGTGCTCTTTTATGTCCATACTTTAGTCGTTTAATTGTACCACAATATCAGTTATTACCTTCTTTAGTGGTCACTCTTGCCATTACTTTAGTAGGGATTGTAGGTTTACAAAAATGCAATTTGAATTTTGGAGCAAAATATCATATGAAGTTGATAAATTGTCTATCATGAATGGATTGCTTGATATTGTGAAATTCAACCACAAAAGATGAGGTAAGTCAAATTTGTTATTATTTGTATACAAAATGTGATACAAGACACGCTTATGTTATAATATATTTGTGTAGGTATTTGGTATGTGGGATAGCTTGAATGATTGCTTAGGGAAGAACATTTCAACTTGGTTTTATAACTGTCATATTAAGGCCTGATGTAACAAATGAACAATAGGAAAGAAATGTGTTGTTAGGACGTGAAGAGATGATAAATATAAGAAATACATAAACGATTTACAAGTCACTGCAATTAGAACAAGAAAATGTGATTGCTATGGGAAATCCAATTTGCAATGGAGGATAATAAGTTTTGAAGGTAGTACATGAGGGTTATAATGATGAATTGACTAATACATTAGGTCATCCTTATGCTACAACATTAAAGTCTTATGAACATTTGTTCCTTGATTAGTGACATGACTACAAGTTGAGTGAAACTGACAAATGTTACTTTGAAGGTGAATAGTGAGGACAATATGACCACAATAAAGCAAGTCCACAATGTCAAGTATGTGTATGAGATCAAAAAGGGAATCAAGAGCTTAAATGTAGCAGTTAATTATGTTGCTAAAATATGACATTTATATTCATTGGAGTAGGTCTGATTTACAAGTTTCAAGTGGTTTATGGACACGTATTGTTGGAGAACTACATAACCAATAATGTTGACTTAAAATCAAGGGTGTCATGTCCTCAAGGTTGACTTTCTCCACTATTGTTAGCTAGTGAATGAAAAAACAACTTTATTTGGCTTACTTGAAAGACTTAGAGTTGTCACATAATCACATTAATTATAAAAGATTTTAGTTCACTGACAAGTTCCTCAAAATTAATACACACAACATAGGTATAACAAACTAACTACTCAGCCCAGCTTGCCTTTTGTGTGGCCGTCTACTCCCTCTCTTTTGTTACTTCACAGACTAATTGAAGTGCAATCTGGGTTACTTCCATGCTAGCGTTCTTTCAGATACACATGTTCATAGTCCATTGTCATGTGAATTACTTGACAAACGTGCTTCTTTTATGAAGTCGGTTTCATGTCTCTATCATCTGGACTATGATAGGGATGATGTGGTAGTACAATCGGTTGATCTTCATTTATCCCATGAAATATGAATTCTGACATATTTATACCACTCCAAGCAAGAGGCGAGTTCGACCGAGTGGCTAGTTTGTTATATTTTTACGTACTAAGATTTTGTGTATTAATTTTAGGGAACTTGTTAGCAAACTTAAATTCTTTTTACTTAATGTGACAATTCTCTTCGTATTTCAAGAGTCTAAATGAAAGTTGTTTTCTGGTTTACTTGTTAACAACAAAAAGGTTTTGAAGAAAGTCTATGGATGTGACATCAACAATCTTAAATAATAGCAACTGATATTTATTAGTTTTTTATTTGTTCATCAATAACACGGTATTAAATGTATTCAATAATTTTACAATTTCACTAAATCAGAATGTCAAAATGTGTCAAATAAACAGATCTGTAACAACTTTTAAAGAGTCATCCAACTTTAATGAATGTACATGTCATGCTCTACCGATATAATTAATTATTGTATTTCAGTTCTTGACTATATTTGTGATCATTTATATATATACTTGACATTATATTGTGGGCACATTATCCTTATTTTTTTCTTTCAAAGTAAAATGTTTGTTGGCTTGTCTAAACTCTTTAGTTATGTCAATGATCATAGAATGCTTATTAAGTTTTAACCTGTCGGTATAAGGGTAACTTACTTTCAATCAATTTGACTCCCACATAAATCATCACCCCCTGTTGGGAACATGTTTATCTTGCCATTTAAATAAGCAATCACACAGTGACTGTAATGATTTTTTGCCTTTTCTATACTTACCATTTTTTTTTTCTTTTTACTTCTAAACAACATATATGTTTTTCTTCCATTTTGTATAATACTTCAATATGACAATTATGAAATAAAGTCTAATTCTTTTCTTATGCATGCACTCATTCAAAGTTATCCCGCATATCAAATTGTCTCATCTTTTACTCCAATAATAGAAAATTTAAATTACCTGTTGTAAAATGTTGAAAGGAAATAATCTCTAATGAATTCATTTTCTATTTTCTCAAATTTTACAATATCAAATAATTTCATGTGAGACAATTTATCAACTTTTGATGTTTTGCTTCAAATTTTGGATTATGTAAATCCTCCTTCACTAGTGAAATAATGACATGATTGATCACTAAAGAATGTAACACTTGATATTGTAGTACAATTAAACAACTCAAGAATGGACTTAAAACACAAGTTTAACCTTTATCAGTTTTTTTCATTCACAGTAATATATTTTTTTCAATCGGTCGACACACCTTCTCATTTAAGTTTACAATCATAAGTAAATAAAATGAGTGAAATAAGACAATTTCATTTAGCACTTAGATTTCAAAATATTTAGGATAAGAGTGTCTTTATGGTTTGTTGTACTTTGCGCATTTGTTTTATTATTATTATTATTTGTTACTAATTTTTTTAACGGACAAAATAATCACAATAATAATAATAATAATAATTAATAATAATAATAATAATAATAATAATAATAACAATAATAATAATAATGTTTAATAACATCAAATATTAAACCATGCAAAGGAAAATTATGTTTAAAACCTGTCGAGAAAATATATTGTTATTCAATGTTAGTGGTGTACAATTTTGAAGAAGAAAAAGAAAGCTAAAATGGTTATTACAAATCTTCTTTGAATCTGTTACAAATGTCTAATAACTTGTTAAAACTAAGAAGAAATCAATTGAAATTAAAGTTATTAATTTCGCACCTAGACAGGTGAGGACATGATCGATGTAGTTTTTTCTCCAATGTTGTTTAATTCTAAAATTAAACAAACTATAAAATGTAAATGTGCGTGTTTCTGTTCTTGAATATGTATGAAGCTTCTTGCCTTATTTATTTTAGTTATAAATTGAGATAGGATTCACTGTGATTACTTTCTTATGAATTGAATTGTGATTGCATTTCCAAAGTTTATTTTGGTTGTGACGTAACTATGATGTCATCTTTTGGTAGAAAATGTCTCTTATAATTTACTGTGACTTTGGGTCTATATTTTAATAATTCTAATTTTTTATAATAGACACTTTCTTTCAATGCATAATAATTTATCGTTCAATTATAATTTATTATGGTTTAATTGTAATTCTAATTTGTTTTCAATATAAGATTACATTAGAGAAAGAGATAAGTTAAAATGACGACATATTTTTGGAAAGAAGCATCTAGTAGATTGAAAAACCTACATACGCTTAACAAGACACTTGCTTAAATATATATATATATATATATA